TACGGACCCGCCGTGACCGATACTTGAGAAAGTGCCTGCGGCGGGCTCGTGACGCCTATACACTTGAGATGATACAAGAGCTTGAGTACCACGAGGACACGTTTTCAGTGTGCTGTACCCTCTTTGAGGACATTGAATACATTGTCAAGCGCGTCGTCGACACCAGCCCTCACCCCAGCGGAGCATCAGTCCCACGATTGTTTGAATGCAACTGCCACAAGTTTCTTGAGAAGCGCAATGCACCTCAGGAGGCCAGCCGGACATGCAGGCACATCGAGGCTGTGAAACGGCACGTCTTCAAAATGATCCCCGAGCGCAAGCGGTTGCCTTCACAGATACCAGCTGTCCGGGATGTTTCACCCGAGGCAGTTCGCGAGGCAACCATCAAAGGTGCTTCGGAAGTGATTGATATTCTTGAGACTTTGAAGCTGAAATTTGAGCAAGTGATTGAAGTTTGTCGTCAGCAAAATGCGCCGCCCTGTCTAGGATTGGTAGACGAGTGCAAGCGCAAGCTGAACGAGATGGGACTGGGCGTTGGAGGTAGGCCACTTGTTTGCACTTGGTGACGCGCGCATTGTGCTAACATCACCCTGTATGCCATTTCGTACAGGTTTCGTGCAAATGCAACGCATCCAGAATGGAGCCACTGCAGGCAATGTCGTAGCTGATGAGTACATTGCCGATATCAGCAGCGAAAACGCGCTGGGGACAATGGATCACGACGGTCCATGCAGCCAACTTGATGTCGAGGACAATGTCGGCACCAACATGATGAACAGCGATGACGACGATAGCGATGACGACGATAGCGATGTCGACGATAGCGATGACGACGATAGCGATGTCGACGATAGCGTTGACGACTATGATGAGTTTGCGCCCTTTTGCCCTATCGATCCTCCCCATCAGGAACACTCGCCCAACGGCGGCGAAGGAGCTGATTCGGCTGCGCAGACCCTGGTGCAGCCTTTGGCGCGTGAAGAGCTCGAGGCAGGAGAAGACTCTGCCAATAATTTTTTTGCCGCCCTCTCAGCCAGTACCACCCAGACTGCTGTGGCCGTGCCGGAAC